TTTTTTTTTTTTTTTTTTTTTTCGGCCTGGCCTGCTGAAGGCCAGCGTGTGAACTCTGCAGTTGTTCCCCGGATGCCCTCCACCCTCCAGCACAACCCGCCGGAGCTGTAAATGCAGAAAACCGAAAGTGCCCTGGAACCTCAACATAACAGCGCAAGAAAACAGCAGCTGAACTGAAACCTGGAACCATGTACATTGCCTTTCTAGTTTCGATTTCTTGTCTCAAATTGCATCTGAAAGACCACCCCAAATTAGATATATCTGCCACAGCGTGCCGCAAAAAACAAAACCTGATCGATAATGCTGGCAACCCCAACGCTTCCAGTATGTGTCAAGGTGGTCAGAAGGGCAACAGAGACGCTTGCCTGGATGAGTTTTGGCGGTTCAAGAACGGCACCAGCAAGAGAACATGGGCCAATCAGTTAATCATCAGCTACCACGACGCCAAGATGGCTTAAGAGTGCTCTAGATAAGAGCTTGCTGTTGGCAGCAGGCCTGAACCTCTTTGCAGCAGAATCATCAAGTTCTGGCCCTACATCAGCGTGCCAAAGCCACTGAGGTATCTTCAGGCGACGAACAATGCCGGTACTGGCGCTTATACTGATTCTTCTGGCTTGCTGCTAGTGCGGCAGCAGGCGTGCAAACCAGAAATGAAGTGGATGAAGTATCCACAGCTTGCAACCACAAGACTTGATTGTTCCTCCAGCGCGGGAGGTTGCGGAGTTCATGCTGAAGCGATGCTCGGCTGCGAGGAGAATCGTTTGTGGGCTCAGGAGTGGTTTCCATGCTTACATGATGCATTCGGACAAGGCCTTCCTCTTCAATGCGCAGCAGCGCAGCATCTTCTTGAACCGAGATGTCTCCCCATAAGCTCTGACGTACTAGCTTGCTTATGTCTACGTTTTTCAGTCCCCCGACACGGAATTGTAATCTTTGCAAGCTAGTATTGAGAAGAACCAGCAACTTGTCTCCATGGGAAATAAATACTTCGTCCTCAAAAAGAGTATCCTACTTCTAAGGACCGGTGAACAAGACGTTTTTTTTTGAGATTTCATGGACTGTCACTACATGAGCTGCAGTACTGCGCAGCAGGACCTTGGTTGGGATGTACACAGTCTATACGGCTTTGTTGCTTCAAGAAAACAAACATAGGCTGATGCACATCTGAGATCGGAAGACGTTTCTGTGGTCAATGGCTTCTCCAAAGCACCGTACAATTACTTACGGTCTTCTATCTGTGTTTTTTTGAGAAGGCGATCCGCAGATTGTACAGAAATCCGGGAACATTTGTGTTGTTGAAAAGGTCTGTCTTCAATGTCAGGTTGTGTCAGGGAATGTTTCTTTGAACTGCCGCTTTCGTCCCGACCCTCCAAAGGTGCCAGCTCACCCCACAATTCCCAGCCCTTCGTTTTAACACCTTCTCGGGTGCCTAGGCGATGGCTTCCCAGCAGACCCGAAGGTGGGAGTCTTAGGTGTCGAGCACTTTGGATATTCCGGGGGTTAAGCTTGAGTCTGAGCCAAAGAGGAGATGCGGATAGGATTGTTTCGATCTTGCTTTACGAGGATGGTGAGTTGCAGGTGTATCAGGGTTCATCACAGGTTTGTGCAATCGCATGCTGCGACTGTAGGTTTGGGAGCTTAGTTTGAATGGTCATGGCATTGCTGCAGTGCCGCTGCCCCGACTATCAAAAGCGGAGCGTTTCACACACAAACCCTTAGACACCGTGAGCTTCACTCAATGAAGATAGCTTCTGTGTCTTTTCGTGCCTTTTGCGAGGCAATCTACCTTACAACCGGAGCCTCAGAAGGGGTGACTCTTGGCTTGGTAAGTGCCAACCGAAAACACCAAAATTCATTGGGTTTGTGCGTGTATCCTTTTGTCGCTTTCGCCACTTAGGTCAGTTCTTGTTTATTTTCGGTGGCTTCTCTGTTTTGGGCGCTTCCGTCATTGAGTCATTGCCAGGCCATAAACCAGTAAGAAACAGCCACGAAATCAGCCAAAGCAAATGGCTAGAAAGCGCAGTCTGGGTGATCGTGGCTTGCGTCTGTTCGGTCGCGCGTGTCTTTCGTGAGGTTGCTTGTGTCTTTTTTGTAGGTCGCTTGTGTCATTTGATGGTCGCTGTTTTGGATGGCGGCATCTCGCTAATTTCAAGCTGCACAGCGTGCCTCACTCAGCACTTGCAAGATTTGTCTTTCCTTTTCTGCGCAAGGGTATTGTTCCAAACGAGCCTTTCTTCATGCTTGACATTTGTTCAACATTGGTGTTCGATTTTCATATGAGCAGCCGCATTCATGTACGTAAGACAGCAGAAGACTAGCCTCGTCGGCATTCTTCCTTCAAAGCCAGTGCTCACTTGGGAACTAGATGGGGACCACGGGTTGCTTGACATAGGTCCAGTCATTGGCATGTTTTACATTCGTCGTCATGTTCCAAGATTGCGATGAGATCCTAGCATCTTAAGCCCGTAAGAAAGAAGATTAAGTATCCGTATAACGGCAATGAGATGGTGGACTGCGGGATCCAAAGTACAATCAATCAATGACGTAGTCGCTCGAACGCTGGGTATTCAATCAAGATCTGTCCGTGTCATTGCTGCGTATGTCTGCCTGCCTATTCAGGTGGTATGTATGAGGATACAGTGCTTCCAAGCATTTTGATTTCGCAGAGTTTAAATGACTTATCCCTGACTCATGAGAAGTTACCTTGAACCGAGGGGGCCTTACAACATTTGTCGCTGTTTGAGTTCCTAAGTTCTGCCGTCTTCCTTTCAGGTCGAGGTGAGAGCTGCTGGTTCTGACATCTGTGTTGACTTCACGGTTGCCTCTGCTTTATCTTTTGTCATGCCGTTGTGTTCCTTGAATGTGCGCTATAGTGCGTGATTCTCACAGATAGCCTTCACTTGAGTTTCCCTGTGTCACTGTGTTCCTTTGCTTCAAGGCGACGGGGGGTGTCAACATCTGTCTTCACTGCAGTTTGCCTGTACATTGTGCTCCCTTTAGATAGGTATGTGTCCGAACTTCAGTACAGCTGGTGGTCTGACAATGTCTCAGCTTGGGTAACTTTGTGTGATGGTGTTCCTGAAGAAATGCGGGGCGAACTGGGCTGTGGTTTCCATCTATGTCTTTACTTGAGTTTCTTTTGTCTGCGTGTCATTTGTCAGTGATCGCTATGCCATGGCGCAAGCTCAAAATGCAAGTAACAAAAATGAAAGGCGCAGGCTATCCTCTGCCTGGGTTGAATCGATACTGATGTCAAAGGATGGTGCGGAAAGCATATGAAACATCTAACATGCAAATGGCCAAGCAACAGACGCGAGTCGTGGGCACGCGCGCATTCGTTGCATGTGGGACGGTCAGTCCTTGGCGTGGGAAATCGTAGTTTCCATTTCCATGATTAAGAGGCCCCAAGTAACGACCCCAACAAAATTGACAAACGTGCCATTCGTAATAGTCTTCTACCAGGACTCTTTACAAGACACTCTGGCATCCCAGGGTCTCATCTCTTCCTCTGACTGATTTTGTTGTTATGTGCGTACGCTGTATATCTGGCAGTGGATGGAGAAGTGAGCTTATTGCATCGCGAAGAGGTAGCACTTTTTCATGGCACCGCTTGGCGAGTGACATGGATAGTGACAGTTTCGGCTGCTGTAGCTATCTGTGAGCTCAGCAGTACTACATGCTGCATTCCTGTCTGAACCATTGTGGAGTCAGACCCTCGCAGGCTGAACTTCTAAACCAATCCAGTCGATCATAGCTACCAAATCGGCATGATGCCCAGGAAGCGTGCAATCTCCGCTTTGCTCAAGGCCGCTTGGAGTTTTTTTCCTTCATGGGAGCTCGCGATGTTCACGCCTGCGAAACTATTGAAGAGGCCTTCGTGTGTTCTGGCCGATGGGCTTGATAGCTTCACTTCAAGGGTTGGTTGTTGCTGCCGTCAGTGCCAAGGCTCGAAGAGAAGGGTTGGGGGGTATGAGCTGTGACCTGAAATTCGCACACCATACTCCCGACTCCAAATCTCGACTTGTTAACGGAAGGCGGATTTTTTTTTGGACTTTTTTGCTCGTTTTGTTTTGGAAGTCTTTTCCTGTGACCT